ACCGCATCGCCCATATGCGCTTATTATAGTCGCCTTGAAGTCTATTCTTGATACTCGTCATCGAAACTGCGTAATACTTTAAGTAAACGTTGGTTAAATTCTTCTATTCAAACTGATAGTTTTGTTTCTTAGGTCGGCAGGACTCCAACTGACGCCTGAGTCAATTTATGTGGCAATATTTTCAAGAGGTTAATGAGATATTTTTTTTAATCAACTCTTGTTAATTTACTCACTCACATAAGAAGAAGAAGAGATTGGGTTGTTTACTTTTATATATCGATTTATCGTTATTGCTTCAATCGTATCGTAGGAATAGAGCCTCCAACCCGGTTTCATAAACGATTACAACACGAACGGAGCTAAATCACACGAGTGGGATCTCACCTGAATTTCTGACGGAAAATTTTCGAAAAATTAATGCGGTTTGGGAAGGATAATGCAAGAGCTAAAATTGTCTGCTCATAGATCTGATGCCCAATACTTTCACCAAAACTGCCGATCACGCTCACTCAGTATTTCTTGTCAACAGTTTGGCTCGAAGGAAACAAGTTATAAACCACAACACCAGGATAATTAAGGAAAAGCTGCTATCCTTTGGTTATACCAGTTGGAAGGAGTAAGGCTCCGATAGACTTAACACACTTAACTCTAACTGTCTGGTCGAATTGGTCGAATTTGAATTCGATAATCTGATCCTTTGAATATTTGGTTTTTTAAAATGATCACTAAATGGTCTGACTTGTGCGGATCACATTCATTTTAAACCAAATTTCAACTTTTTTTCAGTCAGTTTTTTTGATAAGAAGCAGCGGACCTTTGAGGAAATCAAAAATTTTGGGTATTATTTCTGGATGATACAAAGCAACCGGCAAATTCAGTTAACTTTTATTTCAATTTAACAGATATATGTACCTATAATTATTGTTTCACGAGACCAGAATGAACTTTGAAGACAGTGGGAGACGAATGCTTCTCAAGCGTGTTCTTAATCGTCAACATTAAGAGGGAAAGCTCAACTCTGGCTTATATAATTCTATCTCTGTTCTGTCTATAAAGATTATAAACGGGACTAATTTCTACAGGAAAAATAAAATTCAAAACCTATTAAATGTAATCGCATATATAGGGCTATTGGGTAATGAAATCGTGAACTTCATAGCTAAACTATACAAATACTCGTAGATCGCTACTATTCATTGATATATGTATTTTGCATCAGCAAAGTCACGAAGAAGTGTTTCAAGGATCCGCGTATCAACTTCGCTGATGAATTCATGAGCCGACAGATATATAAAGCGAAAACTATGTTTCGTAGTTGCTCGTCGGAGCTTAGGCAAACGTCTGCGTAACTCGTTACATTAACATAATTCGACATTTTGTGCCTTACGCTAACTAGTAATGAATGTGTGGCCAGGTTAACATATTTTTCAACTTACTCTTATGGCATAAAATGTGTATGTGTGTGCACTAAATAAAAGCCAGCCATCCTTGTAACGCTCTTTACATTACAACGCGTGTTTTTCTATATTATATGCTGCAGGTTTATTTATTTTGTATGTGTGCCAAAGGTAGATACAGAAATAAATAAATAAAAAGTTCGAACATTTTCGGATATATTTTCATCAATAACATGTGACTCACAACATGTAAATGTTGATTTGAAATTTTAACGAAACACTTATTATATAAACGTTCATTACTAAAGTTTACAGTTACGCAGAATTTCACAGAATGATTGGCGAGTCTTTAACAAAACCTAAACCGTGAAATGTTTTTCATCATAGCCAACATCACATTTTAAAACATTTTGCATAACAAGCAACCGAACCAGAATAGAAATAGCTATGTCGTGTATATGAACTTAAATTTTAAATAAACATTTATTTATTTTTTTTTTTTTTTTTTATTATCTATATTAGGAGCTGAATTTGTGTATTGAATAAAAGATAATATTTTGCATCAAACGACTAATTTGCTGCAAGCGTTGTAGAAATTGCATCTGGCCGCTTATTTATTGGACATATTCTATCATATTCGATTTCACTGCTTTCTAATAAGGAAGAAAAAAAAATTTTTTCAATTAATGTATGAAAAATAGGTTTTATCTTTTATACATAAACTGTCATCATCATCATCATCATCAGTCAATTTTGAGTTAATTAAGGTACAACTGACGCTCTATGCAATTGACTTTGAGTTGCTGAATACCTCGAAACAGAATAAAGTGCAGGACAGGTTAAAGTATCTTTTGCTGTAAAAATTAAAACTAACCTAAGCAAATTGAAAAACACTTAAGAAATTTGTGTGCAGATAATTTTGTATGAAATTTTCGATTGCTTGCTTCTACACTTTACACAATTTAAAATTTCAAAAATTTAAGTGAATGTCAAAGTTGCTGTAATTGTTTAGTTGTTACAAAAAGCATTGATCCGTATGCGTTTGAGTGTCTGTAAATGTGGTCATTGATGTATAGAAGATATGCACACATATGCACACATTTTTATTTGCTACGTAGCACATAGCAAAGTAAGTATATGATTGTGCAAATTGCATATTTTTTTCTTTTTTCTCCTTTTGATGCATATGTACATACACATATACATACATACATACACGTATGCATTTGTACTCTTCTTTGGTGTATGTAGAGTCTCTGTTACAGTTCGGTTATTCTTGTATAATTTATGCTTCATGCATTTTTCATTTTCAAATCAACATCGAAATTAATCAATAGCAATGTTTTTATTACTATTAAAGTGCAAAAAATACGTAGGCAAAACTATTACATTTGGCTTAAGAGAAACATTAAATGTTCATTTTGTTGAGTAGACGGGTAATATTATATGTAAATATATATAATTTATATATAAATATAAGATGTAAAATATTTGTAAATTCATATGTAAGTATATACCCAAGCCTTGAAATAAATAAGAAAATATTTTCAATTTTCGTCCTTTTGAAATAATTAATAATCGATCGAACAGGCTTTTAATTTGTGCTCATTTCTCTTGCATAATTGTAGGCTCACACAGTGCAAATGTAGTATACTTTCTAGGCAGGCCAAATATGAAATTTTCAAGTAATAGAAGGAAAAATGGAAACTTCTAAAGACAAATAATTCCCTTTTGGGGTTTTTCCGAGAACTGGTGTATATATCGCATCGAGAACTTTTTCGCATATTCACCGCATATACAACGAATTTCGGCAACGTACTCAATATTTTGTTATATTATTATCGTTATTTATTTAGCCCAACAAAATAAATTCGTAAATGAATATAAAATGAGCTCAAGCAGAGGTAAAAATATCGGGTGTATTTTTAAGAAAAAAGAAAACTAAAAGATTAGTCCATTTACTGACTTCCTAAGGCATTTTTAGTATTCCCTTTTTGATATGTGTATTGGTTGATCCAGATTCTTTCTACAAAATTAGCTTAATTTATCTTGGTTAAATTTCAGTGCGAAACTGTTGAAAACATCAGACGCTTATCCCCTATCTTTTTGTTTTCTTTTTAGTTCTTTGAGTACATGAAACTTATTCGTACGATTAAGTTAAATGTATGAACATATAAAAGCGTTAACAGTAAGCCTTGCCTCTCGAATCACATCTTCTGTAACTTTGGAAATTTTAGTCCAAACTACAAAAATGGGACTATATTTAAGAGGCCGAACCCCTAGAAAAAATCGAAATTCTTATACATTAACATTTTAGAAGTCGCAAGTCACATTAAGGTGTCTTTTAGGAATTTGTTTTTGAAAAATTTTTTATATATTTGTTACATACATATATGTCTATTAATAGATTTGGAATCGACTTAGGCAGGTCTGTTCCTATGCACAACTGAGATAGGTTCATGTGTCCTTGTGTTTAATCTATAAGCTATACCGTCGGGTTTTTACAAATAGGCGGATGGTATTGAATGTACGTCGGATCCTGTCATGGAGCCCCGTCTTAAGAATTTTTAAAAGAAAACAAATTTCATTTTCTTAATAAGCCTCGCGAGAGTCGACGAGAAGTAATTGGTGCTTGCATGCATTTTAAGCAGCGATATCTATCGGTGAAAGTGATAAAGCGATGGGAAGTATCTATGCTTACAATGGTTAAATTCAATGATTTTGGTTTTTCTCTACATAAAATACCAGTTTTCCATTTAGTATTATTGAGTTATTCAGTGTATACAGAAGTTCGTCATGGAACCCTTAAAATTGGATTATCGATACCCATTACTTTTGTGGTTTTATTTGAAGAAATATGCAGCCGAAAAATTGCAGTAAGATAGTTAATAACCAGGAAGAGCACATAGGCATTTCATTTGCAATCTAAGGATCCAATTGCAGCTTTGGGTTGGTCGGTCTCAATTTTATACATACAGTTGTAGTGACGACAATTTTTACATTTATTCTACATGTAAACGTTAAAACTTTATTGCAGAGAACAGATCCTTTTATAAAGCGAAATTTAAATCGCACATATCCAATTCGAATAGTCTTTCTTATAATCTATGTGAACTATCTAACATCATTTTTTTTTTTTTTCGAAATCTCTTGACACAAACAATTTTGTATTATTTACATTTTTTATTACAGTTTGGTAGCTTTTTTTTTTAATGAAACTAAGAAGATTATAAAAAAATGCACAAAATGTGAAAGCAATTCAGACTTGAAATCTGAGATTCATTTAACACGAATTTTGTCATCTTTTTCTTTATGTGATGTTCACCGTTACGTAACTTGAAAAACTTATGGCTTTTATGGTAAGGAAAAGTAACCGGTAATTTTCTCCTTATTTATTTTTGAAACCATCAAAATGCTTAATAACATTAATCTTCTATCAATACAATGTAAATGCAATTTCAAACCTGAAAATTTTTCAAAATTAAGTATTTTGTGAGGAGATGCTTAACTCGTTGACCATTGGTATAAAAAAATCTTTTACGTAATCGCTTATCAGTAGTATAGAAAATTACTAAGAAATCAAATTTTATTTCTCTATTTCAGCTAGTGAATGGCGCAGCTGAAAATAACTGCAAGCGAGTCAAAGAAAAGTTGCCCACCTTACCAAAATTAGACACATTTTCGACGTACGAGGTATAAATTATATAAAAAATAATTTGTTGAATTGGTGTTAAATATATAAAAACACCATTTTTCTATTTATGTATATTTCTCTTTCTTTCTGTGTCTGCATATAGCAAATGCAACATTATTTTGATCAGCGTAGCCAAAGAAGTCTTAAGGTGTTGTATAACCCAACGCAAGACAGTTACATTGAAGCTTTTAATCACCACAACGAGCAGGGTGCACGTAGAATACGTCGTTCACCTGACGAATTAAACAAATTGACCAAAGAACCCACTTTAATCAAATTTGAAATAAGTGATGCTGTCGAACCAAGCGAGGAAGTTAAGGAGTTGATACGTAAATACAGAAGCCAAGAATTTCAAAATGAAAAGAACTCTGATTTGAAAAAAGAGAGCGCTAAGGAGCTAACTAATGTTTCGCGAAAAAAACGTTCAACTAAGATTAAGGAACCATCAAATTTTCAAGTGAAATTTATTCCTTTTGATATAACAGATGCTCGGGAGCCTGATGATAATACGAAAGCATTAATAAAACGAATGCGCGCCTATGAAATTGAAAAAGTTAAAGGTATTGAAGAAGACCAAACATTGACATCAACTCCATCTTTCATTGACGTCACCCCTTTCAGCAGCAAAACGACAACGAAAGCACACAAGTATAGAAAGATGAAGAAAAATAAACGATTGCGTCGGTCGGCGCCTGAAATGATTAAGTTTGAGATATCTGATGCCAAAGACTCAAATCCAATGTTAAAAGCTGTTTATCCCAAATACGAACCCAAAACGAGATTTTTAGATCACTCTTCTGCTCATATAAACGAGGACAAAGCGAATATTGCGGCTAGTGAGCGTTTCTTTACCGTTAAAGAGTCCCCTATAAAAGTTAAAAAGTCCGTATCAGCAATGCCACATGAAGTACAACATATTATTACAAATATTTTACATGAAAATCAAGGGGGTTTGGGAGCTGCTTACGGGAAAGCTAATGTGAAATACATAGCAGGGCCGGCAGCTGCTTACGTGGCGCCTAAATTGCTACAGGCTGGATATGGCCACGGATATGGCGGTGGCGGCGGTAGTGGTGGTGGTGGCGGCTATGTTAAATTTTTGCAGCCTCAATTACAAATTCAGCCAGTCCCAGTGCATTACGTTTATGCCCCACTGAATTTAGCTGGGGGTGGCGGCGGCCAAGGTGGCGGTCAAGGGGGTGGTCATGGTGGTGGAAGTGGAGGATATGGTGCAGGACAAGGAGGCGGTCACGGTGGTGGGGGATATGGTGCAGGGGAAGGAGATAATGGGGGTGGAGGATACGGAGGAGGACAAGGCGGTGGTGCAGGAAAAGGCGGCGGTGCACAACAAGGCGGTTACGGAGGCGGGGCATATGGTTCAGGACAAGGTGGTCATGGCGGTGGTGGTTCTGGTGCAGGACAAGGAGGTCATGGGGGTGGAGGATACGGAGGAGGACAAGGAGGTGGTGCAGGAAAAGGCGGTTACGGAGGTGGGGGATATGGTGCAGGGCAAGGAGATAATGGAGGTGGAGGATACGGAGGAGGACAAGGAGGTGGTGCAGGAAAAGGCGGCGGTGCAGGAAAAGGCGGCGGTGCAGGACAAGGCGGTTACGGAGGTGGGGGATATGGTGCAGGGCAAGGAGATCATGAGGGTGGAGGATACGGAGGAGGACAAGGCGGTGGTGCAGGAAAAGGCGGCGGTGCAGAACAAGGCGGTTACGGAGGCGGGGGATATGGTGCAGGACAAAGTGGTCACGGCGGTGGTGGTTCTGGTGCAGGACAAGGCGGGCATGCAGGTGGAGGATACGGAGGAGGACAAGGCGGCGGTGCTGGAAAAGGTGGAGGCGCAGGCGGTTACGGGGGTGGAGGATATGGGGCAGGGCAAGCCGGCGGAAAAGGTGGTTATGGTAGTGACGGAGGAGGGGGTGGTGGGCAGTATCAAGGTAAAATGGGGGGTGGCGGTGGTGGTGGTGGTGGTGGCAGTGTCTACGTTGGTGGCGACAAGCAATATGGCGCAGCATATGGTGGCGGCTATGAATTAGTTGCCGTTCAAGGTCAACAGGCGCACGCTGCTGGTGCACTTATACATGAGGTTTCAAATAATGTGGCAGATTACGGCAGTCATGGCGCCGTGGTCGCTGACATTGGTGGTGGTGGTGGCGGCGATTATGGCGCACACGAGATTGAAGTAGCCCCTGCTGCCGTTGTGGAAGAGTCTCATGGCGAAGCAATAGTAGCCCAAGTTGCACCGGCTGTTGAAGCTCATGCCGTGGCTGTCGCCCAACCAGAACCGGTGGCAGCGGTGGATTATCAAGCTGCGAAAGTTGGGGGAGGCATTGGTGGCGCGCAATTTGCCCCTAAGGTTGAACCTACAGTTGAACAATATTCGAAGAGTCCATCGCAAGAGTTCAAACTTAAATTGTATTCCCCGGAGGCAGCGTTTGTTAGAACTCAAATAGAAGCGAAATATGCTGCAGAAGAAGCTGTTCAGAAAGCCGCAGCGGCCGCAACTTACGGCTACGGAGCAGGTGGTCATGGTGGTTATGGATTTGGTGCTGGAAGCGGAGAAGGTGCGGGTGCTGGTGGTCTAATCAAAGTTGAATACCATGCTCCTACCGCTGCTGTTAAAGAGAATTACAAAAACTCCCTCGAGTTTCAAGAGCTGTCTTCACTGGTAGGAAAATCTCCAGAAGATCAAATACATGGTCTTACTTATTTGTTAGCCAAAGAAATGCAAAGTCGTTTACATTTGCAGCAACAACAAAAATTGGTCGCCGCCGATGTTCAAGCGAGTACAGCTCCCGTAGTGTTTGATTCGCAGGAGGAACAAAATGATGGATACCTTGCTGGTGGAAAAGGTGCTGGGGTCGCAGCAGAAGCAGCAGCCCATGTAATAGTAGGCGGGCAAGCGAACAAATTTATAGGTATGGGTAAATCTCAACAATATGTACCGATTGGTGAAACTGAAGTTGCCAGTCTAAAATCCGGTGGTGGCCTTCAGTCATATGGTTCTGGCTACGGTCTTTCACCTAATTACGCTTACACCGCTGGTAAGGGTGGGGGAGGATTAAAAGGAGGAGGTGGGCTTAACCTTTACGGGGCGGCATACGGTGGTTTGTCGCCGAATTATGGATATAGTTCTGGCGGAAAAGCAGGAGCTTTCGAGAATGGTGTTGCACTGAAAGGGGGATTGCTCAAAGGGGGTGCCCTAGGCGCTGGTCTAAGCGATCTTGGTATCAATGACATACAAAAGGTAAGTAAAGATGATTTTTTTTAGATAAGAAACATAATCTATTCTGCCTAAAGGGATTTCCACATGTCGTGAAGTTCCTAAATCTTAACTTTGCAGATTTTTCGTAAATTTTGAGTTAGTATCAGTGACTTTCTGTTAACGTTACCGAATATAAAAAAATTTTATCTCGCAATTACACGTTTATTCAGGCGTTCAGAAATTTACCAAAAAAAAAGGTTTTTAAATTATCCGCGAAATATCTTTTTCAATGCATTGCGTGTTGATTTTTATTTTAATCTGTTTAGTTTCATTTTTTTATTGTTTTTTTTCTCTTGCTACGTTTCAAAAAAATACTCGCTATAGCGAAACGTCACAAGCAATATTAATTCATTTAAGAGCTCATCACAAAAGCTTAAAGAGCTTTGGGGGATTTCAGTCTTTTTGTTTGTATGCATGTCTGTACGTAAGTATCTATGTGCACGTTCGTTTTTTTTTTTTTTCTACTTGTTTCTTATAATATCATCAGTATCATCATCGTCATCATCATTTTTAGCATAAAATTAAACTAAACAAACCAGACGACAGCATACATTCAGTATTTTTTTTCCGATACAGACAGACAGCCAGCCTTTGCTAATCAGGATGGAAAAGCCACAGGGAAAGAGGAGAGCGAGAGTTTGTGTAAATTGAGGCGTTTTGGTGTGCGCAAGTGAATGTACTTCCGTTTCCTGTGTCTGTTTGCCTCGGCAAATTTTTTTGCTCTATGTTATGTTTTACTATATTATACACAGCTCGCCTTCTAAAGGCAAATAATGAATTTCCTGAGTATAATGTGTTCACAACTATAATATTACAGTCAATGCCTCAAAAGGTAAATGCGTACGCATCTATATCATGCATATTATGCATATACAAATGTATATAATAAACGACATTGAAAATGTTTGTCGAACTTGAAAATTATGCGATTAAATGCATTACTCTGCTCGGTTGCTCATCTACCGCACCGCCCCGCAAACTAGTTAAGCAAACGAAACGAGGATTTGCAATCAACTCAACTCAACTACGTTACAGACGTTTAACGAAATACTTGTGCACAAGTCCCGAGCGTCTGTTGGTATACCTCACATAATACCATCTTTTATCAACTGATAGATTTTCAATATACAATAACGAAAAACAACAAAAACGCCAACAACAATGGCTCTATCGTCTGCATAACAATCGAAACGAGTTCTGGGTTTTCCAATATAATGCAAAAAAAAAGAAAATATATATATATATGTATTTTTTTTTTAATTCTATACCTCATAATTTTTTCTCTCTTACTTACGATATTATTTTTCAAATACAAATAACAACAAAAAATTAATACATCCTTTAATACTAGACGGCTTGTCGTTGCCATTCTTCTCCGTATGTATACTGAAATACAATTGACTTTGCTTTTGGAGTTGGGCTTGAGAGACTTAACTTGTATGCATATTATCGCTTGTTGCTGAGTTGCTTTGTAATCCCCAAAGTTATGCTATAGAATTTTCTTTCATTTTTGTTTTTCCTTTTTGCTGTTCTTCATGTTTTCAAGTTATTATCCTTGTATACAACTTTTGCTAAAACTTCACAAATAGAGAAAATTACTTTGGACACGCATACGTACATTCTTACCGACATGTATACTCGCTTATTCAAACTTGAATATCAAGGCAAGGAAAAGAAAAAATAACAAAAAAAAAAAACCAACAAATATCGAAAAAATTATTACAATAATCCCTCGAAAAAAAGCAGACTAGAATGGAGAGAAATAGAAAGATGTAGAGAGAGAGAGAGAGAGAGGATGTTGCTCTTTCGAAAAAAAAACTTTGATTGTATGATTGGTCTGATTAAATGAAACGTAACGGAGATTCAGGAATTAGTTAATTTTTCAAGTCTTTTCCTTCATTCATTGCTTAAAATTGCTTTTCCTTTAGCTCTATTCGCTCCTATGCTGTTAACTTATATGGAAAAATGCAAATTTACTTTATTACGTAGCAGCGACAATAAGAGAAAACAAACGAAAAAAGGGAAAGGAGGAAATGTTGTCAATTTAATTTTCCTTCCTTCTACGTTTTCATTTTTTTTTTTTTTTAAACTCGCTTACACACTCATATGTACGCTGCGTTCCAATTCTTTTGTTGGCACCAAACTTTGAATGCCGCCTTCTTACATACACTTTCGCCGGGTGTTATAATAGTTCTTTTGTAAAGACTCTCACATACAACATTATGGTTGTTTTGTCGTTTAAACTTTAAACGAATAGCAACAGCAACAACAATCCAATGAAAGCGAAAAACGAATTGCCAAAGTATCGACAAAGTTTTCAGCACTTTTCGTATCCTCTTTTTTTATCATTTTTTTCTATTTTGTTTTCTTTACTTCTTCTCTTCCAAAAACATGTGCCAAACTATTTTATTCAAGTAGAAAAACTAAGAAAACACACAATAACAACAACAAGAACAATCTATAAGACTCGCAAGTCATCAACAGAATGGAGTATAAAAGAACAATTTATATAAAGCGAAGATTTTATTTTAAAGTCTTCTTACGAACTAAAAAAAAAAAAAAAAGAGAGAAAATGGGGGATCGCTACAGCAGTTACATAGATAAATACCCAAGGATAAAAGGAAACTAATGAACATTTTTTCTTACACCATATCAAGTGGATTTTTTTGGGAATTATTTTAATTAAGTTTACAATAAATTAAAAAAAATTCTTTCATATCGATTTCGACGTCAATTGACGTCTAACACTGATTGTGTTAATCAAAAAGGCTTTCGAGAACACTTTAATGTGATGAGCGAGCATCGGAACCCTGATCAGTGTTGTTTATGGTTGAAGGAAAATGTATTCTGCTTTTAAATGCCAAAATGCCGCCAGTTCACGAAAAGAAATGTCGCACGTGCTAATGTGCATATGTCAATAGGAATGTGCGTAATTTGATCTCTGCTCTCCCTCTCTCACTCTATTGTCGGCCAATCTTTATTCGCAGCAATCCGGTCCAAGCTTTGAATAATTTCGCCGACAATCTCAGGAAACGGACATAACTTCAACATTGGCCGATTAATCTCTTCGAGAAGCTTGGGATTACCCGGGCCTGGCTACAGTTTTATAAAGAGAGACAATGTTAACGTTGAAGGTTTCGTTGAATAAGCTTATATAAGTAACCAATATAAGACAGCCCAAACATTACATACATGCTACACACTACATACACACTTGCCGTTACTTTTGTTACGTTACGTTTCTTTTGCCGAACTTTTCATTAAACCAAAAAGAACTTAAAGCTGATTTGCCAATTTGCGTATAACAATGTCTTCTCTCACTTGGAGCTCCTTTTTTTACACTAAAACCAAGGCTGGGCTGGGTTATACCCGTTTGCAATTAACCAGCTCAGACGTGACAAAAGTAGGTTAAATAACACATAAGTTAAAGGTGAAAGTTTTCTCCGCAGCGTTCACTATGAGATTTGTATCCTTTTGCAGCAAAAAATAAGAGCGAATACAATCGTGGAAAGGAACTTGCAGAAACCTTTTTATTTATGTATTATGGAATTAATAAAAAACAACATTATAGGAGGCAACGGCTCACATTCTCGTTAATGCACCAAACTTCATCAAAATATATCAAAAATCGTGGTTTGTAAATTGAATAGAAGAAAACGAAGCGGACAGATGGACAGCCATGCGTATATCAATTCAGACAGTGATGTTGAATCGTAGGGTACAATAAAAGGTAGATCTATAGCAAGTTGTCGTCAGTGGTTCTTATATCCTTGCAAACCTAAGATACTCTCATACCAGAAGTGTTGGTGTAGGGTATCACAACGATAAAATAGCACGTCCTGCTTTTTTCCAGCTTACAGGAATAATGTAAATTTAAATTTTATGCACATAAAATTAGTCAACATACATAGTTAAGTTCAGGATGGTTATCGTCGAATTCCAAGACATTTATTATTTTGCAGCTGTTAGGAGTAAGACGCAAACAACAGGTACACCATAGAAAGGAAAGAGATGAGATTATCCAATTTCGATACAAAAGTGTACACATTTTCAACTAAAAGGATACGCGCGCTCTGTGGCACCGGCTCGACGAATCGTAAGTAAAGAAAAATTCTACTTAGCAGATACACAGGAGTCGACCTGAGGAAGCAATATCTCGCCTAACTCTGCTTTATATTGCCTGATTCGAAGCTTTGTTCCCTCTCTTACAAAAAGAAATATTTCGCTCATTGGTGGTCTTGATTATCAGCTCAATATGTCTGTAGTGAGTGCAAAGGCTTCTAGTAAGCGATCACTTTTTCATTACAAAACCTATTTGAACTAAGATCTAAAACCACAGGAGGAGTAGAAAACTTAAGGCCAAAAAATAAAGTTACGCCTTAAAGTTACTATCGGAATACGGTGTACGTTCGATTGAAAAACTGACCCCGATAAGCCAGCTTATGGAAAGGAAAAATCTTCAAGTTAAAGCTTTGAAAATATAGAACACATCGAGTAACATCGCTGAAATGGTAAGCTTTTCTACGATATGTCATTAGACTCCGAAATACTACAAGTTGTCTCTGAAGATTACTTAAAAGCTGATTTTTCGACTTAGTAGATGTGGGAGGACGGATGGTATTTACGCCCAGATATAAGATGTTGAACATTATGATCTGGATACATTAACGAAGGCAGAAACAAACCAGAAATGTCACTTCTTTTAGGGGAACCAACAAAGAAAAAGCCCGCAAAAGCTGAAGAAGATTTCCAATCAACACATCAATAGGAATCTCATTATTAATCATAAAAGCGTTGTAAAGGAATTGAAAATATTTGCAACACATAACATGACTTAAGTAAAATTAATCAATGGAATGCGTATAAGGAAATCGGTACGAAAACCTGACGAGCTTGAGTCACTTCCGAAGGGAGATGGGATACTAATGATCAATGGCAAATAGATAGCAGAGAAAATTGAACTTCAAGAAACTTCACTATAT